AGTGTAGAGTTGTCCCGGAAGGCCTGCTGAAAGTTGCTGTCCTGTGAGTTGGGCTTGGTGGGGAATCTTATAGGCAGAGAGGTGAGGGATTAGGTCTGTCTGGCAATGCTTTGACACAACAGGCACTTAGTAAGTAAAAAAACCCGAGCCAGGAGAGTCAAGAGCAGGGCTCTGGCGGGCAAAAAAAGAAGTTGAGAGGTGGCAGGAAACACCAATTCTGGGAGCAAACATAAAAGTTCTTTTTTTTTAATATATATTTTATTGATTTTTTACAGAGAGGAAGGGAGAGGTATAGAGAGTTAGAAACATTGATCAGCTGCCTCCTGCACACTCCCTACTGGGGATGTGCCCGCAACCAAGGTACATGCCCTTGACCGGAATTGAACCCAAGACCCTTCAGGCCGCAGGCTAACGCACTATCACTGAGCCAAACCGGTTAGGGCCATAAAAGTTCTCTTGAAGCGGAAAAGAAACCCCGGTTTTAGCCCTAAATCGCAAGCATGCGCAGTAATGTACTCGCCCGTTTAAAGGTCCGCCTTTCTTAGCCTAGGTTCCACCCCGTGGGCCTTGCTGAGAAAGGATGGAGGGAGGGTTAAAGGCGGGATAAAAGTTGATTGAACGTTCTTTTGACCAATCACCTTGCGGGATATTTGGCCTATAATGAAAGGAGCTCAGAACAAAAAGGAGGGCCCGCCTCCCGGCCATGAAAACCAGGCAGAGGTGTGGTAGGCAGCGAGGTCACGCCTCCTCGGTTCAGCCACGCCCTTCATTCTTGCATTGCCTCACCCCAGGGAGCAGATCCGATTGGCTGGGCGGCCTCAAAAGGCGGGGCCGCGCACCGTCACAGTGGGAATAAGCTAGCGGTGGGGGAGTGGGGGCAAGTGGGAGGCAGAGCTGCTGAGCAGGTAAAGGCCAATGGTTCTCGGGGCAGCCTCTCCCAGGAAAAGTCATCTTCTCTCGAACCTTTAAAATCCCTGCTTCCCAGAGCACCTCAAGGGAGTAAGGCTGCCCCCTCTTTTTCCTCCTTGCAAAAGTCCCATTTGCTATCATGGGGCTGTACCAAGTGAGACCGAGTAGGGGAAGCAGGTGGTGACTGGTCCGCCGGTTCCCAGCTGCTGCCCGCTCACGAGCAAATTTCTAGCACGATCGCAACCGAGAACCAAGCAACCTCTCCACCCCTCCCTGGCGCCGTCCCAGGGCTGGTGCCACATTCCCTGCGGGGCGCGCAATGGCGACACCCCCTCCCGCGGCGGACGGCTCCTTTGGTACGCGCAGCCAGAGGTGAGTCCCCTCCTTCCCACTGCGCCCCGGCCAGCGCGTGCGTGCGCATGCGCGGAGCGCGGCGCGCGCGGTAGTTGGGTCGCAGGCAGTCCGGCCCT